AGTGATATCGAGCCAAGTCGCTTAAACTTTTGGCAGAGAATTACCAAGTCAGTGCAAACAATCTAGAAACAATGGAGCCTTTCTTACCCGAACAGCTTACAGCAAAGAAAAAAATCAGAAAATAGGGGATATAGTTTTGATAAAAGAAAATCTTCTCCCATGCAAATGGGTCTTGGGTCGGGTAGTAAAACTGTATCCTGGGCAAGATAATCAAATAAGGGTAGTTGAAGTAAAAACTTGTAAGGGAGTATATAAAAGGTCTGTTTCCAGATTGAGTGTACTGTCGATAGAAAATTATATAGTTGTATATTCATCTAAATATTTGTATATAATTTTATGTAACACTTGTATTTGTATTAGAATTTCATGTAAAAAATTTGAAATTTATCTCAAAGATTTAATTGAGTATTAGTTATGTTAAAGTTATAATACTCAACAATGTTAAAGTTTTTGTAAAATTATATGTTAACTAAATTGTAATGTAATTATAACTAAAAAAAAATAATGTCAAGTTCTTTGCATGAGAACAGTGCAAGACTGGGCGGTGTGTTGGCGCATGCGCGCCATTCACTAGAAGAACGAGGAAAAATATTATTCTCCTGTGAGACTCGATAAACATTGGATGTTGATAATTACTTAAACCCTTTCGAAATCCACAATATCTGCAGCTGTTCTTGTTTTATTCCTAATGTTATTGTTATTAATAAAAAACAAAAAGTGCAGCTGGTGGTCCGTCGTAATTTACTAAACTATCAAGCGTGTTGGTTTTAGGCAGACAGTTACAAATCTGCTCTTTTGAGAAAAACCAATAGAACTGTGTCAATTGTGGAAAGATTGTTTTAATTGCTTCTAAAACTCGGTATTTGATATCAAGAAATGGGTATTGGAACTGAGCATATTTGAAATTATTGAATTTTGGAGCACATATCCCCATTTAACATAGACAAAATAAAGAATGGAAAAAGTAATGAAGTAAGAATTATCCTTTTATGTTAAAAGCAATAATTTTATTCCCCAAACAAATTTTTTGACACATTGTAAAAGTTGATGACAAATCATAAGTACATGTTATCAGCCAAGAATGTATAGAAATTGTTCATTCAGTTTCATTCCCTCCATCGTTGTCTGCATTGAGATTTTGTGCAAGTGAGTTAGCTTCGATTTGAGTCTTTGGCTACCCCTACAATATTAAATAGAAGTCGAAATCAAGAACATAGTTCGAAAGGGTTCTCAGGTGATCCAATTTTATGCTATTAATGAGTACACATGTGAGACTGGATAAGTTTAAAGAGTAGGGAGCTGAGGAACATCCTTTTCAGCTGGCGCCAAAGAGAATGTTTAGGACACCAAACTGTTAATGTACTGCCTAACAACCACTTTTCCATGGCTGTATGAAAAATCATGTGTCCTAGACATGTCCCAGCAGTCTTATTGTTTCAGTGGCATTGATATGTTTGTTACTTCTGGAAAACTGTTGAGCTGCATCTATTTATTTTTCTGCGTGTATTTGTATTAAAACATTAAGCGCATGTAGTTACATGTTAAATGATAATATCAAAGTTAATAGGTCTCACTTTGTCATAAGTAGGGTCACTATTAAAATAATTTACAGTGATCTGAATCACTTGATTCCAGTTAGTGATCTGTATCACTTGATTCAAATCATTGATCCAAATCACTTGATAGCAATCAGTGATTTGAATAACTGGATTTGAACCAGTGATCCGAGTAGGATAATTTGAATCAGTGATTCGAATTACTTGATGCAAATTAGGCATCAGAATCACTTGATTCAAACAGTGATTTGAATCACTTAATCGAATTGCATGATATAAATCAGTGATCTGAATCACTCGATTCAAATAGTGATTTGAATAACTTGAATCCAATCAATGATCTGAATCACTTGATTCGAATCATTGATCTGAATTACTTGATTCAAATAATTTGATTGGGTTCATTAACCCAACTTGCATGATTAGAATAAGCAATCTGAATCACTTGATTCGAATTACTAATCTGAATCAAAAGATTCGAATGACTAGTCCGAGTCACATGATTCCTATAGTACTTTGACTCACTTGATTCGAATGGTGATTTTAATCAATTCACTCGAATCACTCATAAGCCACATGCTTTTCAAAAGTGACATTTTTACATTACAGGGTTGCCACAGTAAAAAATGAACAAAAATAGCTGCTTTTAGTAGCCTTAAGCATGAAAATAGTTGCCTAAAACTATAAAAATAGTTTCAGGCAACTATTTTTGATCAGGAGCAAAAATTTATCAAAAATAGTAGCCGAATAATTAAAATTGTAGCGTAATTGTCAAATACTATGATAAGGACTGGTTGATGTCAGAAATTTTAAATCGTGATACATCGTCCGTTAGACATCGCGATTTAGCAGATGTTCAGAAATTACCTATGGGAAATCAATCAAAAATAAATAAAAAGGAATAAATCTATTACAAAAGAAAATATTAATTCTAAACATATTCTACTATAATATCAATATCATAGATTAATTTTTTCAATTAAAATAATAAAGAAGTCTAAGTAAAAGCAAACCCAAGATTTATTTCATTTTTCTTAAATTAAATATGATTTAAGATTTATTGGTTTAAAAATAATAATACTGTAACAAAATATTTTACATATGTGCATTAAAATTAAAAGAAAAAAAAAACGAAAGTAGAAAACAAACTAAATAAATGTTCACTTTAGAAAAAAAAAATTTTTTTTTATTAAATTATTTGTTAAAAAAACCCATGCTTTTGAAACATCATTAGACCCTCTTTTATTCAATTATTTAAAATAATATAAAGTAGTACTAACTAATGGTCAAATTCTGTACTGAATAAATGTAAAAATATTTTTACTTATTATTATTTTCGTTTTTGAAAATAAAATTGACTAAAGATTTATTTCTTTAAAAATGACACTGACTATCTAACAAATTATAAAACAAACAAGTATTGAAAGAATTTTAATAAAATTTAAAAAAAAAAAAAACTTTAAGTACTAATGTTAAATTATTAAAAAGCGTCCAAACATTACTAAACTCTTTATTTATATTTTAAAAAAAATTTTGCTTTTTAACTAATAGCCAAATTTTTTTAAAACTTTGTTTTCAATTTCTCAAAAATAAAAGCAAATTAAATAAAGATAAGCTTTATTTTATTTTCATAAATAAAAACAACTGAACATTTATTGGTTTAAAAATAATCAAATTATTATACTTACCTACATTAAATAAATTTGATAAAAAAAAAAAAACTTTTTATAACAAAATTAAGTACAAAATACACCTATTAAATTGTATTGCTTAAAATGAAAAATAATAATTGAAAAAAAAACAATTAAATTAAATTAAATAAAGGTAAGCTTTATTTTATTTTTATAAATAAAAACTGAACATTTATTGGTTTAAAAATAATCAAATTATTATACTTACCTACATTAAATAAATTTGAAAAAAAAAAACTAACTTTAAAACTAACTTAATAAAAATCAATAAAAGAAACTTTTTTAATTTTTCTTTTCTTTTCATTGATCTATTGAGTTCAGAACGAAAGTTTAAGATAACAGCGATTGTGCAGCAATCACAAAGTAACAGTAGGTCTACAAAAAATAAGTATTAAACGAAGTATAAAAATAACGAACGAAGTATAAAAATAACTTCGCTAAGAGTAAAAGTCTCCCAATAGTCGCCTATTCCTGAAAATAGTTGCTTTTTTTAGCCTTTTCAGGCAAAAAAAGTCGCCATAGTCGCCTAAGGCCGAAAATAGTAGCAAATAGTCGCATTTTAGTACCCTGTGGCAACCCTGACATTATAAACTCCAAGTTTTGCTTTCAGATAGATACCTAACAAGTTTTCAGAATTCCCTACAGATAACAGCACAGTACATAGATCTTATTACCAACATAGAAATAGCAGTGTTTCTAATCAAAAATGCTCTGAGCAATTTTAAAATAAGGCCCTTTATTTCATTACCCTGAACCTTTCAATTAAAATTTGTTTAAGGTTAACTATTCACTTGGCAATATATGTTTCATGAATAATTCATTAACTTTTCTGTTTGACATCTTGGAAAGATTTTAACTTGTTATTATTTGGTGATAAAAAAAGTTTGAAAAATATAGTGATTTACATTACTTTAAACTTCTTCTGTAATTTTTGTCTTATAATGCTGAAATGCTAATTTCGGCTGCCCCAGAAAAATTATGATGCATAATCAGCATCACAATTTAAACTTAGTGCTAAAATATCATACAGTAAAATAAGGATGAAGTATAAATAGACAGTAAAGCTAAAAATAAAAATTTAAATAAAATAAAATAAACAGATCTCAATTCATAAAGCATTAAATAAATAAAATAAAAAAAATTTAATCCTAATCCTTTTTGAAAACAAAGTACATGATTGCTAATTGACTAGACATTATGCAAACATTACAAATTATTTCAAAATCTAGTTCATCTCTAGAATACTTTAATCTTAATTCATATAGCTTGTTTCATCTCTTAAAAAGTCAATAATATTTGCATTTTTATTATCTTACAGCAGCTAAACTGAAATACAATACAAATGAGCTGCACTTTGCTTGGCAATCCACAAAAGTTGATCTAAGTATGGAGGGGGCAGTTTTTTTCTTGCTCTGAAAGGTGACAAGTAATTCTCACAAGTAGCACAGGCACTTTTTTTTGCAAAATTTTTAATAATTAATTTTTTAAAGAAATATTTAATAGATTGTATGTTAATTAGTCTCCAATAAGGAATTTTTAAATTTTCTAAATTAAAATATAATAGAGTGCAATCCTTACTTATTTTTTTCTCCTTTTTTTCATAAAAAAATTCATATTTCTTCATAATCCTTTTTTTATGATTCTCTTTTTGTGCGAAGTATTATCTTTTTTCAACTCTCCTAAAAAAATCAATTTCTCACCAAGTTCTAATCATTTCAAAGAATGAAAGAAATACACACAATAATGTTCAAAATTATGGTTGCATTCTATTGCAAGAAGCATTTTATTAAAAAGACACAGAAGCGATCTATGCATTAAAGCTGTATAAAAATGTTCATAAATGCGTTTCTTTTTTTAAAGGCAGAGATTCTTCATACTGAGAATGGTTATTAATTGGGCTACTTTTATTGTTCCCCTTGTAATTGGGATTAGTTACAATTCCATTCCTTCGAGTACGTGGTTCCCTCGGAATCACACAGCACTGATCATTTTGTGGCTCACTCAGAGGTGAAAGCAGTCTACTAATACGATTTCTATTTCTCGTGCATTGTTGTAGCTGTTGAGTAAAAGTTATTTCTATTTTAGAATTGTTTGTAGAATTAGTGAGATTACTTGAAGAAGACTGATTTGAAATAAATGAGCGTCTCTTATCTTCTGGTGATTCAAGAGGAGGGCACAATATAGCACTGCATGGCTTTGTTTCTGCAGTAGAGTGAGATGAACATTCAGAAGCAGATTCTTGTATGTATTCTTCAAGTAAATGTATGACACTGCTATGGCCACCCTTTGTTGCAACACGTATTGGGTTTCGTCCAAATTGATCAACATGATTGGGATCTGCCCCATACTCTAATAATACTTTAACAACCTCAAGATGCCCTTCCTGTGCAGCTATGCAAAGAGCTGTAGCACCTTGATTACAAACATGGTCCACAATAGCATTTCGTTCTAAAATAAGTCTTACCACAGATACATGGCCTTGCCATGCTGCAGACTGCAGAGCTGTTCTGTAATCATTATCAACTGCATTCACATCTGCTCCATGATTTAGGAGGAGTTCAACCATATCAGTATGTCCTTGCCAAGCTGATACATGCAGGGCAGTGCGTCCTTCCAAATCACGTGCTTCAACATCAGCTCCTCCTGCAAGTAAAAATTCTCCCATGTCAGTACGGTTCTCTAGCGCTAACAGATATAGTGTTGATCGACCATCTGCATCTTTGTAATTAATGTTAGCTCCATGATTTATGAGAAGTTTAACCTAGACAAAAAGGAAAGCCTTTATTAAGAATCAAAAATGAGTAAAAATTCTGTTACAATTGAATTGCAGTTTGAAGAAAGAGAGTATTTGGCCCATAAGGGAGAAAAATTTAAGAGAATTCTACATAGTATTTCGAAGAACCATTATTTACTTTATTGCACATTACTTTAGCTTGCAAAATTAAATGCTGATGTCATTAAATACAATTTCTTTATTTATTTGTACTTCTAAATTAACCAGGGTGTTGCAGCTTTGCCTAATCTGACTGGACAAAGTAGATATTGCCTGACTATCAAATGAGAAAATGGTTAATTCCCCCCAAAGTACCAATTTTTTTAAGGTACCTGGCATGGATCCCTAGAGAAGTACATAATTTAAATTAAAATCATTAATTTTTAACTGAGTATATATCATTGGAATACCAACTAACATTCTGTTTAAAGCTCCTATTTCTCATAATCAGGCTTTGAATGTAGCAGCAATGACATCACATCAGATGCATTGATGACCAGAGTGGACAATTTTAAAAATCCCTGGCAGTCTTCTATGAATTAACTATTAGATACCCACTCTCTACGAAGGACAGTCTCTTTACCAGATATGGACAGTAATTTTCATCTAAAAAGCTTATGAAAATATTTCAAAGAAGACACTCATCTTTTTATAAACTATTTTATATCTATAATATTTTTTAAACATAAATATTTCTTGGAAATGAGTGTTTTTATAGATAAAATAATGGAGTAAAGGGATGAACAAATTTTCATGTTAGTAATGAGAAGAGGGAAATTCCAAAATAATTTTTATGGCTTTTGAATCATAACTGATTTTATGATTCAGAGATCTTTGCACTTTGTATGACAGAATTCAGCATTACAATAATCTACCTTAAGAGGTCACAGGGGCCAGATGCTGTACAGTTAAGTGTTGTCACAGAGACACATATCAGGGAGGTATTTCATTTTATGAATTGAATTCAGAATCATTCATACAATCGTAGTTCATTCACAAAATTTCCAACAACACTTCAAATATAAATGTTTGATTGAAAAGCATGATTAGAGATATCATGTTACTAATATCTAGCTCTGATTAAATGGAATATATATTTTAATTTTGCTGTTGCTATTTCTAAACTCTTGGTGGAAAAGAGCCCAGAAAAAGTTTTTCAGTACAGATTATAATCTTTAATTTTATGGGTACTTTTGTTGACAGATTGTACAGAACTATATCTTTCAAATATGTCTGGAAAAAATGTAACGCTAAAAGAAATAAAAGCAAAGTTATAGAATATTACAGGTGAGAAAAATGTAGTATTCAAAACAATCTAAGTACTTAAAATGCCTATTTTTTTTAAACTTCCAATCAGAAAAATATTTTTCAATGAGTGTTTAAGTTAACAGCTAGGAATGTGTCATTTCCTGGGTAGCAACAATCATGGAAAAAAGAAACTTGTGCTAGTCTAACTATTTTCGCTCTAAATTTACTTGTGGCAGGATAATAATGTTTTGACATATTTGTCGCCACAGCTCATTTTCAAATAAATACTTAATAAGCATTCTTAGGGCAAATATAAATTGCACATGTTTAAAACAAAGTGAAAGATAAAACAAGCCTATGAAATTAGTCATAGCGACTTGTTTATACTATTTTATTTTATCCTTGATTGCTGCCACTATGACTTTTGACCATGCAGCCCATACAAAAATGTTAGTTTGAGTAAATTATGCTCCACCACAAAGTTTTTCCTATGATTGTAGAATTACCATGTATATTGTCAAATACAGTAGCTTCTTATAATATGGAATTTGTCAGGGGGGAAAGAATTGTGTGAAACCTCATTGTGTACTATTAATGCAAAATAATAATGTACAAGAATATTTTAGCACACCTTTCCAAATAATGCTAAAAGTATTGCAACTTACTTTAATTTATACTTCTTTTTCATCCTTTATCCCGTTTTATTAAGCTCCAATTAAGAGTGTTTAGTAGTTCTTAATCTTAATGCTAACCCAAAGAAATAGCAAACTATTGCTTATATCTTATGACATGAAGAGAATTTTTACACCTTAATTGACAATCAATGAAAAATTATGAAGTATTTTACTTTATCAGTATTTTAGTGACATCATATCATTATCAAATATATAAATCTGAATTAGCATATAACAAAAGGCTACTATAACTTTAAAATAGTATACTGTCATCGAACTAGATAATGTGTGCATTGACGATATGCAAGTAAACGTTAGTGAAAGGGCTTTTTTAAAAGGATGAAATATAAAGTAACGTGTTTTGTGGCCTTATATTTTCTCTTAAGTATTTGTAACAATTCTTCGTGTCCCATTTTAAGGAGACATTAAATTTATGGTCATAATTAAAATATAATTTTTGTTTCCTTAAATAAGAGAAATTGAATGACTTAACTGTATCTTTATGTCCTTCTAAAGTTGCTATTCTGAAAGCAGTTTTCCCATCATGAGCTCTAGAGTCAACAATTGAAGGAGTATGATGAAGAAGAGTTTCAATTAATTTGGTATGACCTTCTTGAGCAGCCAAGATCAAAGGCACTCTACCATCATTATCAATTTCAGTTATTTTGGCACCAGCTTCGAGAAGTAAGTCACAAGCTTCTATATGGCCCTCAAAGGCTGCATAATGCAAAGGTGTCCAGCCACCATTATCCCTGTGCATTTCATCCAATCCACGATCTAAGAGTTGCCGAACACTTTTTGGATTTCCCTGAGCAGCAGCAATAGAAAGGACAGTTCGACCTTCAGCATCTATTGTGTCTACAGCAGCTCCCCAAAACAACAGCAAATTAACAACTGCTGGATGTCCCATGGATGCAGCTGCAACTAATGGTGTTCTCCCATTATTATCACTATGATCAACATCAGCTTCATTTTCTAACAATAATTCACATACCTGGAAAGATATTTGGGGGAAATTTCAATAAAAACAATTTTTTAATTTTTTCTTCATTTTTTTCATGTTACAAAATATTTCCTACCTCTTCATTTCAAAATAGAATTAAAATTAAACAAAACATGCAAAATGAGATTGCAGCTAGTTATTGATTTACCAATCATTAATTCCTCTCTAAATTTTAGAGAAACAGAAGAATTTGAGGAGAATCATTCTATTAATAAAAAAATGCTTTCAATATTGATAATGTTTTATCTTTCTTTTCAAATCCCTCTTTGAAAAAGTTTAGGAATGAAAACTGATTTTATTAAAATTAATTTAATTAAAGATGTGAGAAGTGCACAGTTGAAATACTAAGTAATATTATATTAAATTTTGAAATAAATGCATCCATTTTATTATTTTTGTCCTAATTAAGTTTATTAAAATTACAAATTCTCGACTCAAACTTGGTTATGTTACAGCCAGGGCCAGATTAAGAACCTTAAGAGGCCCTAAGCACATTAAAGATTTCGATGCAAATATTTTAAAATTAATGTAATAAACGACAGACTACATGCAAATGACAGGAAATTTAATTCTAATGAAATCAAAAAGTTCTCTTTCTTTACCCTAATAAAAGATTTTAAATCACTTAAACTCAATAAATAACTGTTACCAAACATTTCCACTGACACAGACCAATTTTTAAATTAATCAATAGTTATAATAACTTGACCATTTAATTAGAATTTCGTATTGTCTTTATAGGATGTTTTTAAATGCATAGATAATGTAATATTATTTTGAAAAGTTTTATATTATTTTCAATTATGATTTTAAAGATAGATTAGAAATGTTTTAATACGTTAAGTTAATACATGCATAAAAAATGTTTTATATATTTAACTGAAAGAGATTAATAATTTTCAATATTACAACTATTTTTTTAAATCTGGTTTCCTATGCTATATATTTAAAATAAACATAAGAATTCAGAAAACAATAATATTAAAGTAATTTAAAAAGCTATTAAAATATAAAATTATTAAAATATAAAGTTATTAATATAAAAGTTATTAATATAAAAGTTATTAATATAAAAGTTATATTAAAGTATAGAAAAATAATCAGCTCGCTAAATTAGCTAACTTAGAGCAACTCTTTTACAGTTTATACTAAACTGGTTTTAATTATATTCAAAATATTGTTTTCCTGCGTATTTTAACTTTAAAAATAATGTAGAATTTTAATTTTTTTGTCAAAGCAATACAAATAAAAATTTAATCATGAAAATAGTAATAAAAATACTACAGCAGATAAATTCAATATTTTTTAAATATAAAAACCTATAAAATTGTGCACCATAACATGAAGAATAAAAAATAGAAAGTACTTTTTTGAAAATTGATTTAATATTTTCTGCCAAACAGTGTGCACAAAATAAAAAAGTGAACATCCTGAATAACTTTTCATCAAATAGTCACATACTATGACTCAATATAAATGAGCTCGAGGGACAAATTTTAAATGTGCTAATTTATTAGTGCACACCCTGTTTTAATTATAGAATAAATAACAAAATTGGACACAAAAATGTATAAACATACCTAACAAACATATAAACATTCTCTGTATAATCATATCTTATTTCAGCGGATTTGGAATTCTGATCTTCAAAATATGAATGTTATTTAACCCCAATTTGGAAAGTATGGTCGAAATAGTTTTGGCAGGAGGACAGCCAAAGTTTGGACCCTTAGTGTTAACTTTACTTTTTGCACATTTCACTAAATCCTGAGAATTTCTTAAACAAATCAAAAGATTTTTATACAAAATTATTAAATTTGTTAATCCAAAGATAATTCCATTTACAAAATTTTTTTATAATTATTTTTTCATCTAATAGTAGTCAAAAAATGTATTTGTTTTAATGTATACAAATGTTTGCCTCATTTTAAAGTATGCAATTTTGAATAACATAATGCAAAATTTGAACAAAATAGATAGAATAGTTTCAAAGTTAAAAAATTTTAAAAAAGTCATACATTTAAAACTTGATTTCTTGAGAACTATTTCCCCAATTTAATTTAAATTTTGTCAATTAAAATTACATAGTTAAAACTAACTTAAATAAATTGTTACTTTTTACATCAGTTGTGAAGTCTTTGCAAAATCTCTGGGAGACTCGTCGTATTATTAAAACTCAACTTAAAAAAGATGAATACTTTTAAAAGCAAACTAAATTTCCTTGAACATGAAATAAACAAAGCAGGCACTTAGAGATCAAGATAAAGTTGCATTTGAAAATCTGTTTAAGTCTTAAATGTTAAATTCGTAAGTGTAAGCGAAATTGTTACTGATGTAACTCCTAATCATGTAATTGGCTTTAAAAAAATATGTCAATCAAGGAACCTTTCTTACATTAGCCTTCCCACTTTTCTGTAACAGAAGTCGCCACCAAGAAGGGCAGTTTATAAGTTCTAAGCTTATCTTCAACAGTATATCAAGAAAAAGTATTTTTCGCTGAAATAAGGAAAAAGTATAAGGGGCAATTAGTGGTCCCCAAGATGTTTCAGAGGTGAAAAGGATGCTTTGACACTTCAGTGTAGTAAATCAATTTGTTACACTTGTTTACACAAAGCTTCTTCTCTGCTCTAGTTTTGCATTTCAGGCCTCAGCTATCTGCCGCCTTTCATAGAGGCTCTCGACAATGTAGGTGGTCTTTTCGGTCCTTAGCATTGGTTATTTTGTGATGGAATAACCGCAATACACAACGTTCTTTCTTTTCCGTGAGATTGTAATAAATGTATTACAAAAGCAATTTAGTTTAAACCATGATCTTGATTAAGAACATAAAATCAAATTAAAATGTGTAAAAAAAATATTTTTAGAAATTTTTTTTTTCATTAGTGCTTTATGGTCTCCCCCCCCCAATCTCTAGTGCCCTACGCACATGCTTAGTATACTTACTGGTTAATCCAGCCCTGGTTATAGAGGATATGAATGTTTTGGTTCTCATTGTTCTATTTCTTGAATATAAAATAGGTATTTTGATCATAATTTTTTTTTTTTTTGCTTCACTTTTAAGTATATCATAATTAAAAATGTTTAGATGTTTTTCGTATAAATGGCAAACTAGTATGTTACAATGATAAATCGTTACATTTCTTTAATATTATAATTATTTGAAATCTTAATCTAACTGATCACTCAAGGTTGTCAAAACAAAATAAGGGTGCAAATAATTTACCCGAGTGTGTCCTTCAAAGGCAGCTACAAGCAAAGGAGTCATTCCATCTTTGTCTCGATGATCTACTTCAGCACCCCTCTCCAAGAGTAAGCTCACCACTTTGGCATGTCCTTCAGAATCACAGAGGGCGGCAACTGAGAGGGCAGTTCGTCCATCACTGTCCTCGTGATTGATTTCAGCCTTGTGCTCAAGTAATTGTAGAACAATTTCAACATGTCCCATATAAGCAGCTGCAATAAGAGCTGTACGTCCTTCGTTATCCACTTTATTAACACAAGCTCCATAGGACAAGAGGCGGGACACAATCTCTTCGTGGCCACCCCATGCTGCAGCTCGAAGTGCTGTCCGATGATCGGAGTCTGAAAGATCTACATCAGCACCATTTTCAAGAAGGACATTTACAACCTAAATAAAACCACTTTTTTTTTCATCGACAATAAAATCTTTCAATGATGTAATAAACAAGAAAAACCTTTTTTCTCCCAAATTTAATTCTAATTAATTTAAGGATAATGAGACCTTAAGCAGTCAAGCCTGTTTTTGTTTAACCCCTTCCCTCTCACTCCCATGAAAATGACGGGGTGAGGTTTCATCCTCTATTTCTCACTCTCGTGAAATTTTCGGGCTGGAGTGTTCAGTAGTAATGCACCAATAAGAATAAAACTAATTCATTTCTTTTGCTGGGAAAACATTTTATTTCTCATTTTACACACCAGATGGCAGTACCAGGATATTTTTGAGGTAATTGTAGATAGTTTATTTTAAACTAGATGTCAGCACTAATCAAATACCTGTATTTGGCAATATAGGCACTTTTACGACCGTTTTCTTGAAAATTAAAAGATCGTTAAGGGGTTAAGACAATTTAAGTCATTAATAAGTTAATATTTTACTGCTATTATTTGGTATTTTAATTATTTCCATTAATTTTTATGAACAACACCATGTTATTCGACTAACCATAGCAGACTAATCTGCACAAATCTCTTACATTTCTTGCAATGTGCTATCTGTTCATAGGTGTCTACTTGCACACGCACATAACATTAGACACTCTTCCATCAACATACCTAACAGGGGTCTGTGTAGGTCTTTTTTAGAGGTACCTATTTTGTGAAAATTTAGACATAATTTGTGAAATTTAAAAATTTTATTAAAAAAATCAACACAAAAATATAGTAAAGTAAGAAAATATTTTCAAAATTATTTAAATATCTTTCGAAAATATTTTAAAAGTATTTTGTGAAACTACCGTTTTTCTTTAAATTGAATTTGTGAAACAACCGTTTTTCCTAAAATTGAATTTGTGAAGCTACCACTTAACGGCAGTAAATTTGCCCTGGACAGATCCCTGTCTAATTAATTTTAAATGCCTAAAAAGTTTCTCACTTGATAAAAATTCGCTGTATTCTGCTTGTAAGCAACAACTTAGTATCATTCATCAAAAGTTGAGAATTTCGATTATGTTTGATTAAAAACGTTGCTGTGCTTATTGAAGAGAACTTTTAAGTACCTACTTCAGTATGTCCAGCCCAAGCTGATGATCTGAGTGGAGTCCAGCCATCATTATCAGCGTGATCAGCATTTGCACCAGCTTTTAGCAACATTTCAACAATACAGCTATGTCCTTGTCTAGCAGCTGGAAAATTAAACCTTTTAGTGACATTAACACATAGTTGAAAAGAGCAAAAATATTTATCAATGAAATAAAGTTTCTTTCTTAATGAATCATAAAAAAGAATCTTTACGAAACATTTAAGATTGATAGCACATGTATTGATTAAATGATATTTCTGATGAATGACTAATATATCGTGATATGTTTAAGAATTTTCTAAAGTGTCAAATAATTTTTTTGATACACGATAAAACTTTTCCAACAGGGAAAAGACCGTGAAAAAGTTTTCTGATCTGTAAAAGATATTTTTACAAGTGAAATAGACTCTATGAAGTGTAAAAAATTGAACTATTCAGTAAAAAAAATTTCTGATGAATTTTATGTATGCATTTTTCAGAAGCATGTATTCTAAGACGTAAAAAAAAACTACTGATGCACAAAAGAATTTTTATACATAAAAATTGAAATTATAAGAAATTTAGTCTACATTTATTTATTTATCATGAATACTTAATCTGAGCAACTTTTAATTAAGTTTTAGCTATAGACAGGCCAAAACAATAACTCTTACTGAGACATGAGATAAAGTGCATGCAGACGACAAACTCAAAAACGTTTTTCTTTCACTCATGGTAGAAAACTCACAAAGGAAAAAAAATATATGTTTATTTCAAAGGTTGTAATAATAGATATACTTCATAGTAATGTCTATCTCTACTTACTAACATACAACAAATAGGAGGTAATGTGCACATAATATCTGAATATAAGCATTCTAATATTAAAAAAAAAATCAAGCTGTTTGGTTTATATTTTACCAGGCATCTCAGTTTTTCCCCTCATCTACATCATTAAAATTTTAAACATATTACATTATAATTAATTTAATAACATATACTAATTTATTAAAATTTGTCTACATAATTAATTATCTAATAATCATCTACATTGCATTTTAAAAGAATATAGTTGTAGACTAAAAAGTAGAAATTATTTGCTCAAGAAAAAAAAAAAAAATTATTAATTCGACTGTCACTACAACAATAATTTAATTTCAAATAACCAGCAATAGCTAAAATTTTAATACTTACCGAGGTTAATGGGTGATTGGCCATTTTTATCAGTCTTCTCTAAATTAGATCCTTTTTCGATAAGCCTTGATACAAGACTATCCATTCCTTCATGTGAAGCACGGTGTAGTAAGGTACGTTGGTTACTATCTACTTGGTCTATATCAGCTCCAATAGACTCAAGGGGATCAATTGGTACTTTAAATGTATTTTTTTCTAGGAAGTCTTCGAGAGGTAAATTACAATACATTAACCACAAGGTTATATGATGAGGCTGCAATGAAGCACTCAGAGATATTTTACTCAAGTGCAAAGCAAAGTCTGAAATTTCCTCAGGTGTTAACTGGGAAGAAGCTATTGTATACCGCATAGCTATCATTGCATGCCCATCTTTTGCATTACAAAGATATTTCTGAGTGCAATGTTTAACATCTAGCAGCCATTCAGCAAAACTATGATGAAAAAGAATTTTTGTACCGCCTCTTCCTTTAATTACAACTTTAGAAAGTAAACTTAAACGTTTTTGATATTCTTCATAGGATAAATTTGTATTTCTAGTCCAAACACACTGGTATAAAACTTCTTCAGTTAAAGGTTTCCTAGAAGCAAGAATTACATTTAAGATTGGCTGAACTTTACTGAATTGTTTTCTCATGAATAATCTTTGACTTAACCATAGATATAAACCATTAAGAGTTCCTGGAATTTCACGAATTTCTCTTATCATAATAAAATTTTCACTTACACCATCTAAAACTTTCTCAAGGTACATAAAGCAACCATTACTTTTAATGTGCAATTGATTCAGCATTTCTGCAGTTTCTCTACTCAGATGTTGTCTCAATGCTTCTTCTTTGTCCAACCGGGACAGAATGTATTGCTGAACATCTCTTACAACATGGCATTTTCTCAAATCATCTAAGCTAATTTTTCGAAAGCCAGTAAACATGCGAGTAATATTTTTGCTTTGCTTTCGGGATGAACATATGAGTAGCAGCCATCTAGGGAAAAGATGATGATAATTTGCTAAAAGTTCAGCAATACCATTTTTTTCTCCTCCTAATATTGACTGGTCAAGCGAATCTACAAGAATAAAACAAGGATGCCTCGGAGGATCTATCTCAAGTAAAGGAAAAAGTACACCTTTTTTAAAAGCTTCATCTGGATCACATTCGCTGATTTGCAATTCTTTGATTTTTTCCTTATATCCACTGATAAGAGGAGATGCTGTGATTTGACTAATAAGATTATTAATAAAAAAAGCCACCGAAAGACTTTTGATATCATTAGCTTGACAAAAATGATAAGCTAAAAGTTTTTTGCTCAATGAATTTTGTTTCCCTTGAGTATTAGTTGGCCATACCAATTCATTACAAAGAGCAGTTTTTCCAGATCCTGGCCCACCAGTAATAAGGGTTCCACAAGTTTTAGAAGAACAACGACTTTCTAGGTAGTGATTTATTTTAGCAAAAGCCCATTCTCGACAAAAAAATCTTTTACCATGACTTTGTGTCATGTTCCTCAGGAGTCAACGTTTCCTTCCTTTCAACTTTACTTCTTTTTGGTACGTCATTCTGAAAGAAAATGAAGGTCATATTAAAGTATTCAATAATATGGCTTCAAAACACTTCTATTTTAAAAGATAGTTTATTTATAGAGCATCGATCTAGTTGAGCTGAAATACGAATCCCTCCCCTTAAAAGGGAAAATCTTTAAAAATCATAAAAATATAATTTTTAAATGGATACAAGATAGCACTCATGTTCAAAAGCATGGCAAATAAAACTTTTGATGGGTTTTAACCATTAATAAGATCACCATGTCAAGAACCTAAAAAATTGCAGATAGGTATTGATATAAGTATTATGGTTTTTAGGTTATTTTCTCACTACTTTAACTTTTGCGTCCTTAAGCAATATTTCTGATTAAAATATTTAATTTCATTATTTAGTGGTATGTTTTGCTTAAAATATTCACAAGGAAAAGAAAAGATTAGCATTAAATACATTTTGCACATAAATTATATTAAAAATAAAATAGAGCAAAATGTCATTACTGTCCCGTGTCTCCAACACACATTTGTTTTAACTTTCTGTAATTTACTATGTTATGAAAGTGTTACAGACATAAATGTATACATATTCTGATATAGTATGACTGTCTACTTGAATATCTATAATCAATCAAAATTATTATCATAATTTGTATACTTTGTTCTACACATCACTTTGTATGTGTCCCTTACATTTGTGTACTTACAGCTCAAGTATCAAAAAGTGGAAACAAAAAACACTACAGATGGCTCTAGTTGAATAAAATATATTTTTTCCTGGCTACAAAGAACACTATTCTCTACAGAACAGTATATTTTAATTGCAGTACCATTTAATTTAGTAAAAAAAAAAATTAAAAAAAAACTGTGAGTGTGAAAAACCTGTGGAGAAAAAAAATTTTTTTTGGTAAATTTTTGAAGACTCATGTTTTGAAATATTTAGGGTTTGAGATCAAATCAGGTTATTGTCATACTTTAACCTTTGCACTCCACTGACACCTACCTATACAGTGACATCAAAAGTTACCACCTAAAATTTTTTAAATTTTTTCATCTTAAAATTTTGTTACGACATTATTTTGTGATTATTAGTTGCTACATTGAAAATTTCATCATATATTTTACATAAATTAGTGCTTGCATTAATTTAAATAGCATTTTAAAGTATTCAGAGTGCAAAAGTTAACTCAACATCAGAATGTCAAATAAGGTATCAAATGAGAAGTCAATCAGCTAATTATTTTTTAACTAGTAATTTTATTTCTTTACAAACTGATGATTTTTGATGTTAATTTTTCATGCTATATTTCTTTTGGAGTTGGTCAAATTGTCTTGAAAATAATTAGCTAATTAAAACCAATTAATATTAGTAAAATATTTTCATGAAGATAAGTGAGGTTGTGAATATTAAAACCATTTCACATATGATCAGAAGTAAATCATTTCTCAATATTAAAAATAAGATATGCATCCAAAAAGGGTGCTTTTGGATCCCTTCTAGATACCAAAAATGATCAACATTTTTGTAAGAAATGATATTTACATTAATCAAAAAATTTTGGAATTTCATTGGGCTAAACAATTTTACAGTCTCAGTCACCTTTCTATAGGTATTGTGCCTTAGCTTTAGAAGTGTATGGCTGCACTGCATATTAATTTTGTTAATTCTGAACAACCATTCTACTGAGGATTAAAAAAAAAAAAATGTCTTTAATATTTTTTGTGAATATAAGTTATGAGATATTTAAGGTCAAATAAGATCACCTTTTAACTTTGACCTAACATCGAAAGGACAAATAGGGTAGCCATTGAAAGGTCAATTCCTCAGTTTTGCAATGGTGTTTGAAAATTTCTTTCACTACAATTGGGGAAAAAAAGCTTCAACCAATAATATGTATGCAAGTTTATCATGTTTTACTAAAATTTCAGATTTTCACTTGTCTATACCTTGTACAATTTCAAAATTGAAAATTATTAGAATGACTTATTTCATCATGTGTCCATTAGCGTATTTTTCGGCGAAAGCGGCGGTTCGTCGCAAGCGCCGTACATCGATAAAAAGTTAATTTTTTAAAAAAAAGTTTTAATAAGCGCCGCAATGGCGCTAAACCGTGCATATAAGCATCCTTATAGAAAAGACCTTTAAATTACCATTTAGAACATCTGTATAATAAGAAATTAAATATTTTTATACATTTCATTAAGTAAAGTTTTAATTTCTAAATTATAATAACAAATTTCTTTTTCAGCATAAAAAAACAACAAAAAAAGTTCTCTTTCAGCAACAAAAAAACACTAAAACGATATAAAATAAAGTTGTTCGTACCAGTTGGCACCACGCCAAAAAAAACAAAAAAAAACAGAACAGCAAAAAAATATTTATATGCTCAGTAGCTGAATTAACGCTGAACTGATTACAGAAATCCGTAAAACAAGCAGACAAAAAAAAATCAGCTATATTCTTTTTATTTGGAATTTTATTCTGTTGAAGTAACTTACTTTATTTTATCTTTTAGAAATAAAAAAGAAGCTTGAAAAAAAAAATCTGTGACAAAGGAAACATCTGTTTCTAAAGCAGTTTAAAATAAAGTGAGAAGTAAAAACACCTGCATTTCCAATGAACAAAATAAAGAAGTGCAAGTTGGAAAAAACTGATCAATCAATCTTGACAGCTGTGCTTGTGCTTTACTGGTTTGTCCCCACATTTCCCTCCTCTGTTGGACCATAAATTGGCCACACCCAGTTGACATTGAAACTACCATGTGGACTACAAAATGAATTCTATCTCTTTCGCGTTTTTTTATTCGATTCATAAATGTTTTTATTTTGCCGCTTTTTTAATAGTTATTAACTATTAATTTTTTTTGCTGTTAATAATTAGCTTGTTTTTTTTTCTTGTTATTAGTTGTTTTTATTATTATCGTTATTAGTTTTTAGCTTGTTTTTTGTTGTTATTCATTGTTAGTTTCTTAGCATTAATTGTTACTTTTTTTTAGCTCCGTGTTAGCTTTTTTTTCTCTTGCGAGGTAAGCGTCTTTTGTTAAAACAAAATGTTATCTAAAAGAAAAAACGAGAACTATGATCTCGCTCCGAAGAATTTTTTATTATCGTTATTAGTTTTTAGCTTGTTTTTTTATTGTTATTCATTGTTAGTTTCTTAGCATTAATTGTTACTTTTTTTTAGTTCCTTGTAAGCTTTTTTTTCTCTTGCGAGGTAAGCGTCTTTTGCTAAAACAAAATGTTATCTAAAAGAAAAAACGAGAACTATGATCTCACTCCGAAGAAGAAATGATTATTTCTTCTTCAGAGGATTCAGATTATTTCTTCTTGATTATATTATACTAGGAAGCTTCGCCCCCTACTCGCTGGCGCTCGCCAACCCCCGGAACTGCTTTCGCAGTTCATTTCGGATATCTTCGCAATCCAATGCTCGCTCATTGGATACGTTCTTAACGTCTAGCTTTTGTATACTTTTTTGAATACTGAAGTTCCGAAAACTTTTCACTGTAGAGAATTCTAAACCTGTACATTTCAATATTAATTTGAAATTGCAATTGTTAATTTGGGCATTTGGCGATACAACACTTATAGAATTGAAGGATTTGTTACGTCAAGCGCTCAGGTATCATAATTTTGATCTAGTTGCGCTTCTATGTCATTTTGATTTATGTTGCTAAGTTAACTTTCAAAAAATTCTATGGCTGGCAACAGTATTTATATTTTCTAAGTTGTTTATTTTTATTTCTTTTAGAGTTCGTTCTTTTTTTAGCGAAATGTTTTTTAACCTTACAGAATTCTTTGCCGACTGTTTTCTCTATAAATGAAGAAAATAAAGTAAATATTTAAGTGTTGTGAAAAAGTGAAGTGTTGTACAAAGTACTTCAGAAAAGCGCTTTCGACAAAATACTAAAATAGAGATCTACTACTCACTTCTGCCTAGCTTAATAGTATGAGATTGCCGAAGCTGAATTGAACAACCTGATAATGCTCACTCTGGTTATTGTATCCGTTTTTAAAAGCGCTATATGTTGAGCCACCTCGTCTAGATTTGCCATGTGACATTTTTAGCAGCAATCATTGGTCAATTTTCTAACGTTGCCATTCGGGGAGTTGTAATGAGGCTTTTTTTTGGTGCCGTGTAAGAGAAATATATATATAGATTGATTATTATTTTAATCAATAAAATTTCTTAAGATGGGCCAGTTTTAAATTCACCCCATAATAATCTACGATCGAAACTTGACTAAATTTATTGGTTTTTCTGAAATTAACAGTGTAATTGAATTATAGTAATATTTGGGCGCCATATTGGAATTTCCGAAAGAGATCCGAAGTGCGGCATTTCGTCAGTCCCGTGAGTGTCGGATTTAGGGTCCTATTAGGTACTTCCCTTTCTGTTCGCTCCAATTACAATTGCCAAGGCGCTAAGTAGATTTCTAGCTTGCGATTTTTCTTTAAGCTGAGGGTGAATACAAGATACATACCTTTTAAATTTTCTCCTTATGAGATGTTTTTTTAAAATTATTATTTCGTTAATTTATTTTCTTACAGGCTGCTGCTGAAAGTTTTCTAAGAATTGGCAATGTTCTGCAGCACATCGCGATACGGGCAAATATTTTGTTGACTTCGTTATAAATTTTTTTTTTAACAGTCTTTCTCTCAGAAAATTATTTCATTTTAAATAACTTTCTTTGACAAATTTGTTTGCTACTTAAAATATTTTGCCGGAACGCCGCATGTAGGAAAAAAAAATTATTTTTTAGATAGCGCCGCTGCGCTTTCACCGAAAAATACGGTACACTAAATTTTCTTAAAATTGAAGAGTGGTCGGTTTAAAAGTGATTGATCTAAGGTAAAAGGACTGCAGAATTTTTTCCTGTTTTTTATTATACAAAAAGTTTTTAAAACTTTTTTTCAAAAAAAATTAAAAACTGTAATTTGAATTTTAGATGGTTGTAACATTTAAAATTTATAAAAGAAAACCCTTGATAATTATAACAAAATATTTTAATCTTTTACTCCTGGTAGCTTATTATTTATATATTAGTATTTTTTTCTTCGATTAGTTTTAAATATACTGAAAAAAAACTTCACGCATATTATGATTTCGTGGCTATCATCTTATGTCGTGGACATTTTTTGATGGCTTTAACCAGTCATTCACAAATGAAATGATGAAGGTAAAAAACAATGTTGGATTTTATAAAGCTTCAATACGACAACCACATAGTTAGGGTCAAAATATTTTCAACCTCTTACTGTATATTACAATGTAAAATAATATTTGCTCTTTAAGACTTAGAAATTTGGAGACCCTAAAGCAGTTAATAAGTTTATAAGGGCTAAAACATTCCCAAGTTGTTATGATTATCTCAGTTGGAGAGTTCTGAATAACATTTAAATATATTTACATAATACAAAATAACTGGACTGAATTTAATATTACTTTTAATTTTTTAGATCTCAATGTACAAAGTTTTCTTTTATTAAAAAAAAAAAAAAAAAAAAAAAAAAAAAAAACAATTTTTTCATAATATTTTTTTAACATGTCACTTACATTACTGCAGACTATAAATAAACATACCTTTGGTAGAATTTTCTCGCAGATGTCAAAGCCCATTCAGAAAAATCAATCACATCTTAAAATTTTTCTTCTTTACATTCATTCGTGAAAAGCAGCATTCGGAAAGGATAAAAAAAAATTCTTCTATGACAGGTGCACTCCAAAAATTTATGTTTTGAAGTGCCTCATCAAAACTTTTCAATCGATGACCCCGATTCATATTATTTTTAATCACTCAATTTATCTCTGAATTCTTTGCAATGTCATATCTGTAAAGTTAGAAAACCATAAGAATTTATATTGATAAAACCAGATGTTTTGCAAAATCATATGTATACTTTTAGAATACTTGTTTAAAATGGAATACAAAGGCTATCTACATTAGATATGAGTAACAATTTTTTCAGCATCAGTTACAAACATAAAACTTTTTTTTAAATCTAATACACAGTGTTTTTTGTGGGCAAGGTTTAAACAATGTGCACTCCTCTTTAACCTTTCGATCAAAAATGTTCCTCTCATATGCCCTTTAATCCTGGTTATGTGTCCAAATATAAAAATATATTCTGCCTAATGTTATCAAAATTCCAAATGGTTTTTAGAATTTTTATATTTTGAAAATGATGGCATTTCATATGAATTTCAAATCAAATCATACTACATGTTAACAAATCATACTACCCATAGAAAATTCATTCATAAAAAGAAATCTTAATTAGAAAAAAGCAAAACTGACAAAATGAAAATGAGTGCACTTTTAAATATCACATGCAATTTAAATGAGGACATAAAGAGATTGTTGAAGTAACAAAGATCCAGTTTAATCAAAGACAGACAACTAAAACAAGGCTTTCGGTGAACTGTCATAAGAAAAGGATAGTATGTACAGTGTCAAAATATAACTTATTTCGCAAGAGTAGAAACATATCTGGTTTATTTCAATGGCTGAATTGAAAATAATGAATACCTATCGTATTTCGTAATTTTATAAAGTATACTTTAAATTAATGAAGAAAATAAGCATGGTAAAATGGGAAAGTTGATTATCAGAAGATACATCTGGTTGATTGTAATCAAATGTATCACACAGAGATTTATCAGAAACTGATGGGTTAAATTTCCAAATTAAAATGCTCAGCAAAAACAGTCATTAGAATATTATACATCATTGGAATATGCATACAACCATTGTAAATATTTGAACCAAGATCACTTTAGATGAATATCACTGTAGATGAATATTTGTGTTGAACAAGGGAGGAACTGATACAATTTGAATGGGATGAAATAAATGTGTGACTAAGTTTAACACTTTTGGTTGTAATTGGTGATGGACATTTTTAATAAATTGAAAAAAATAATTGTCATTTTCTGATTGTATAATAGAAAGTTTATAGATTTCTATTAGATGATAAAAATAATTGTTTTATTAATAACTCTTACATATATATGTGTGTGTGTTATTTGATCAGCCCCTCTTACTTTTGAGCTACTTCTACTGTCACTAATAATGTCAAAGGAGCGAAAAGGAAAAGTTTAGAATCACGAAGTATAAAGTTTTTAATTTATTTTATGGGAATATTTACTAATAATAAAAGTGAAACGGTATCCGCAAAAGTATTAGACAATGAAGAGAAAACACTGACAACATAACTGCTTTCTAAAAATAAATTTAAGCATCATGTTTTTTTTATGAATATAAAGAACATTTTTAATGCATTTACGTCTAATATTTTTGAAAGTAATAATAATATTAATCTATATGTGTCAAAATTGTTAAGAAAAATTTTAAATCACATTTAGAAAGAATTTTATATAATCTAGACAAGATATATTACTTGAAAAAAAGAAAAAAAAAGATTGAATATTATAAACATTGAAAAAAATTTGATAGAGCATTAGCTGTAAGCCCGGCAATTAACTTTAAAAAAAAAAAAAAAAAAAAAAAAAAAAGCAGGGCCGCTGCCTNAAAAAAAAAAAAAAAAAAGACTGTTTCAATGTTATAATAATAAAAAAAAATGCTTACTTAAATTAACCTCCCTCTTTTATAATATAAAAACTCTGGGGATGTAAAATTCTTTAGAAAATTGGAGTGAGTACTATTGATAAAAGAATCTCATTATTAATGTTTATTTACACAAAGCAAACACATATTACAAAGAGCACATTTATAATTTATAAAAAAACAACAAAAACACTGACAACCCATAATCAGAAATAGAACACTGGTGGAGCATCATAACTTTACGAATAGTTCTCACTGCCCGCAAAAATTTCGCAGATGCAAAGAAAAAAGAATCTAATTGGGAGCATTCACACACGCGCGCGCGCAAAGAACTCGATCGAATCTCCGAATTCGAATCTACAAATTTTTGCGCACACAAAGAATGGCCCCTTAATTTGATGTTGTTATTGTTGGTCATTTACGTCACACTAGAGCTGCACAATGGACTCTTGGCGACGGTCTGGGAAACATCCCTGAGAATGATCCGAAGACAAACCATCACAATTTTGATCCTCTCGAGAGGGGATGGCACCCATAGAGTTGAAATAGTAGGTAGAGGAACCAAGTTTGCTTTATTCCTCCCGAAAAGACACGCCACAGATAGCAAGCAAAGAGTTACAATCACGTGATGGAAAGAGTGCAATACTTGGCGCAGTATCACAAATGTCCCCTCCGCAGAGGATCAAAATTGTGATGGCATGTCTTCGGATCATCCTCCGGGATGTTTCCCAGACCGTCGCCAATAGCCCATTGTGCAGCTCTAGTGCGACGTAAATTAACAACAACAACAAATGTTGGCGCACTAAGTTTTTTAACAGCTTTTTTTCGATATTACCG